AGGGTGGAAGTGAAATATATGACATTCTGAACGAGAATGGAAGTGAAATAGATGACATAATGAAAGAGGGTGGAAGTGAAATAGATGTCATTCTGAAAGAGGGTGGAAGTGAAATAGATGACATTCTGAAAGAGAGTGGAAGTGAAATAGATGACATTCTAAAAGAGGGTGGAAGTAAAATAGATGACATTCTGAAAGAGGGTGGAAGTTAAGACGGAGATAACATTCTGAAAGAGGGTGGAAGTGAAGACGGAGATGACATTCTAAAAGTTGGTGGACGTGAAGACGTAGATGACATTCTGAAAGAGGGTGGAAGTGAAGACGGAGATGACATTCTGAAAGAGGGTGGAAGTGAAGACGTAGATGACATTCTGAAAGAGGGTGGAAGTGAAATAGATGACATTCTGAAAGACGGTGGAAGTTAAGACGGAGATAACATTCTGAAAGAGGGTGGAAGTGAAGACGGAGATGACATTCTAAAAGTTGGTGGAGGTGAAGACGTAGATGACATTCTGAAAGAGGGTGGAAGTGAAGACGGAGATGACATTCTGAAAGAGGGTAGAAGTTAAAACGGAGATGACATTCTGAAAGTGGGTGGAAGTGAAATAGATGACATTCTGAAAGAGGGTGGAAGTGAAGACGGAGATAACATTCTGAAAGAGGGTGGAAGTGAAGACGGTGATTACATTCTGAAAGAGGGTGGAAGTGAAATAGATGTCATTCTGAAAGAGGGTGGAAGTGAAGACGGAGATAACATTCTGAAAGAGGGTGGAAGTGAAGACGGTGATTACATTCTGAAAGAGGGTGGAAGTGAAATAGATGTCATTCTGAAAGAGGGTGGAAGTGAAGACGGAGATAACATTTTGAAAGAGGGTGGAAGCGAAATAGATTACATTCTGAAAGACGGTGGAAGTGAAATAGATGACATCCTGAAAGAGGGTGGAAGTGAAATAGTTGACATTCTGAAAGAGGGTGGAAGTGAAGACGTAGATGACATTCTGAAAGAGGGTGGAAGTGAAATAGATGACATTCTGAAAGACAGTGGAAGTGAAATAGATGACAATCTGAAAGAGGGTGGAAGTGAAATAGTTGACATTCTGAAAGAGGGTGGAAGTGAAGACGGAGATGACAATCTGAAAGAGGGTGGAAGTGAAGAGATGACATTCTGAAAGAGGGTGGAAGTGAAATAGATGACATTCTGAAAGAGGGTGGAAGTGAAGACGTAGATGACATTCTGAAAGAGGGTGGAAGTGAAATAGATGACATTCTGAAAGACGGGGGAAGTGAAATAGATGACAATCTGAAAGAGGGTGGAAGTGAAATAGATGTCATTCTGAAAGAGGGTGGAAGTGAAGACGGAGATAACATTCTGAAAGAGAGTGGAAGTGAAATAGATGACATTCTGAAAGAGGGTGTACATGAAATAGATGACATTCTGAAAGAGGGTGGAAGTGAAGACGTAGATGACATTCTGAAAGAGGGTGGAAGTGAAATAGATGACATTCTGAAAGACGGTGGAAGTGAAATAGATGACAATCTGAAAGAGGGTGGAAGTGAAATAGATGACATTCTGAAAGAGGGTGGAAGTGAAGACTTAGATGACATTCTGAAAGAGGGTGGAAGTGAAGAGATGACATTCTGAAAGAGGGTGGAAGTGAAATAGATGACATTCTGAAAGAGGGTGGAAGTGAAGACGTAGATGACATTCTGAAAGAGGGTGGAAGTGAAATAGATGACATTCTGAAAGACGGGGGAAGTGAAATAGATGACAATCTGAAAGAGGGTGGAAGTGAAATAGATGTCATTCTGAAAGAGGGTGGAAGTGAAGACGGAGATAACATTCTGAAAGAGAGTGGAAGTGAAATAGATGACATTCTGAAAGAGGGTGTACATGAAATAGATGACATTCTGAAAGAGGGTGGAAGTGAAGACGTAGATGACATTCTGAAAGAGGGTGGAAGTGAAATAGATGACATTCTGAAAGACGGTGGAAGTGAAATAGATGACAATCTGAAAGAGGGTGGAAGTGAAATAGATGACATTCTGAAAGAGGGTGGAAGTGAAGACTTAGATGACATTCTGAAAGAGGGTGGAAGTGAAGAGATGACATTCTGAAAGAGGGTGGAAGTGAAATAGATGACTTTCTGAACGAGGGTGGAAGTGAAGACATAGATGACTTTCTGAAAGAGGGTGGAAGTGAAATAGATGACATTCTGAAAAAGGGTGGAATTGAAGACGTAGATGACATTCTGAAAGAGGTCGGAAGTGAAATAGATGACATTCTGAAAGAGGTTGGAAGTGAAGACTTAGATGACAGTCTGAACGAGGGTGGAGTGAAGACTTAGATGACATTCTGAACGAGTGTGGAAGTGAAATAGATGACATCCTAAAAGAGGATGGAATTGAAATAGATGACATTCTGAAAGAGGTTGGAAGTGAAGACATAGATGACTTTCTGAAAGAGGGTGGAAGTGAAATAGATGACATTCTGAAAGTAGGTGGAAGTAAAATAGATGACATTCTGAACGAGGGTGGAAATGAAATAGATGACATTCTGAAAGAGGGTGGAAGTGAAATAGATGACATTCTGAAAGAGGGTGGAAGTGAAGACGGAGATAACATTCTGAAAGAGGGTGGAAGTGAAGACGGTGATTACATTCTGAAAGAGGGTGGAAGTGAAATAGATGTCATTCTGAAAGAGGGTGGAAGTGAAGACGGAGATAACATTCTGAAAGAGGGTGGAAGTGAAGACGGTGATTACATTCTGAAAGAGGGTGGAAGTGAAATAGATGTCATTCTGAAAGAGGGTGGAAGTGAAGACGGAGATAACATTTTGAAAGAGGGTGGAAGCGAAATAGATTACATTCTGAAAGACGGTGGAAGTGAAATAGATGACATCCTGAAAGAGGGTGGAAGTGAAATAGTTGACATTCTGAAAGAGGGTGGAAGTGAAGACGTAGATGACATTCTGAAAGAGGGTGGAAGTGAAATAGATGACATTCTGAAAGACAGTGGAAGTGAAATAGATGACAATCTGAAAGAGGGTGGAAGTGAAATAGTTGACATTCTGAAAGAGGGTGGAAGTGAAGACGGAGATGACAATCTGAAAGAGGGTGGAAGTGAAGAGATGACATTCTGAAAGAGGGTGGAAGTGAAATAGATGACATTCTGAAAGAGGGTGGAAGTGAAGACGTAGATGACATTCTGAAAGAGGGTGGAAGTGAAATAGATGACATTCTGAAAGACGGGGGAAGTGAAATAGATGACAATCTGAAAGAGGGTGGAAGTGAAATAGATGTCATTCTGAAAGAGGGTGGAAGTGAAGACGGAGATAACATTCTGAAAGAGAGTGGAAGTGAAATAGATGACATTCTGAAAGAGGGTGTACATGAAATAGATGACATTCTGAAAGAGGGTGGAAGTGAAGACGTAGATGACATTCTGAAAGAGGGTGGAAGTGAAATAGATGACATTCTGAAAGACGGTGGAAGTGAAATAGATGACAATCTGAAAGAGGGTGGAAGTGAAATAGATGACATTCTGAAAGAGGGTGGAAGTGAAGACTTAGATGACATTCTGAAAGAGGGTGGAAGTGAAGAGATGACATTCTGAAAGAGGGTGGAAGTGAAATAGATGACATTCTGAAAGAGGGTGGAAGTGAAGACGTAGATGACATTCTGAAAGAGGGTGGAAGTGAAATAGATGACATTCTGAAAGACGGGGGAAGTGAAATAGATGACAATCTGAAAGAGGGTGGAAGTGAAATAGATGTCATTCTGAAAGAGGGTGGAAGTGAAGACGGAGATAACATTCTGAAAGAGAGTGGAAGTGAAATAGATGACATTCTGAAAGAGGGTGTACATGAAATAGATGACATTCTGAAAGAGGGTGGAAGTGAAGACGTAGATGACATTCTGAAAGAGGGTGGAAGTGAAATAGATGACATTCTGAAAGACGGTGGAAGTGAAATAGATGACAATCTGAAAGAGGGTGGAAGTGAAATAGATGACATTCTGAAAGAGGGTGGAAGTGAAGACTTAGATGACATTCTGAAAGAGGGTGGAAGTGAAGAGATGACATTCTGAAAGAGGGTGGAAGTGAAATAGATGACTTTCTGAACGAGGGTGGAAGTGAAGACATAGATGACTTTCTGAAAGAGGGTGGAAGTGAAATAGATGACATTCTGAAAAAGGGTGGAATTGAAGACGTAGATGACATTCTGAAAGAGGTCGGAAGTGAAATAGATGACATTCTGAAAGAGGTTGGAAGTGAAGACTTAGATGACAGTCTGAACGAGGGTGGAGTGAAGACTTAGATGACATTCTGAACGAGGGTGGAAGTGAAATAGATGACATCCTAAAAGAGGATGGAATTGAAATAGATGACATTCTGAAAGAGGTTGGAAGTGAAGACATAGATGACTTTCTGAAAGAGGGTGGAAGTGAAATAGATGACATTCTGAAAGTAGGTGGAAGTAAAATAGATGACATTCTGAACGAGGGTGGAAATGAAATAGATGACATTCTGAAAGAGGATGGAATGGAAATAGATGACATTCTGAACGAGGGTGGAAGTAAAATAGATGACATTCTGAAAGAGGGTGGAAGTGAAGAAATAGATGACATTCTGAAAGAGGGTGTACGTGAAATAGATGACATTCTGAAAGAGGGTGGAAGTGAAATAGATGACATTCTGAAAGAGGATGGATTTGAAATAGATGACATTCTGAAAGAGGGTGGAAGTGAAAAAGATGACATTCTGAAAGATGGTGGAAGTGGAATAGATGACATTCTGAAAGAGGGTGGAAGTGAAATAGATGACATTCTGAACGAGGGTGGAAGTGAAATAGAGGACATTCTGAAAGAGGATGGAATGGAAATAGATGACATTCTGAACGAGGGTGGAAGTGAAATAGATGACATTCTGAAAGAGGGTGTACGTGAAATAGATGACATTCTGAAAGAGGATGGAAGTGAAATAGATGACATTCTGATACTCACATCAACAATATCCTTAATCTGCTGGATGTCTTTGGGAGGAGCGTTGTCTTTTTTCTTGGTGACCAACATTAGAACTCTGGACATGACCAACACGTCCTCCATTGTTGTTTCTTTGTTAGTCGTCACTTCTTTAATCTGTGACGTCATCTCTACCACTTCTTTACCGCTAGGTGGCGGCTCTGTTGGTTTCGATTCATTTGTTGCTTGTGTTTCTATTAGTCTAACCTAAGGGAGAATTGCTGAATTTTTAAAAAGCAAACAGTAAAGAACCAGAAGAGTATGCCAAGTGTAATTATTGAATGGGCCAAAGCAGACTTAAGTAATGAGATTTTCAAAAACAAAGAAGAATTAGATTTTTTAAGTTAAATTTTTTAAAATTTTAAGTGTAGGTATATTTAAATAATTTACATAATAGCTTTACAAATGACGTGGATTGTAATGACTGACGAGAAGCCGCGTTAGTTGTTAACAGTCTTTATTATGTACAGACGCCATGATGCAAAGAGAGGAAGAGAGGGAGCAAGTGGCCAGAGACCACTATATATAGATAACAACATGTAAGGGACATCACTCAAGATAACAATATAAATATAATACTAATACAGAGAGTGAGTTCCCTTGACCTCACAATTATTTCAATCTATTACATCCCTTTACCCTTAGAACACAATAACACATCTCTCAATAGAACAATTGATAGTATCCTAAAATCACCAATTATATTGTAACATGAACACTATGGTAGATTACATCCTTGCAAACAATGCACAATATGCCACAACATAATCAAAATACAAAACAATGATGTCAAAGTCCTTTTGACCTTTAGAATCATAGGTCTAACTTATTTGGGACTTTGATTGTCCTGCTTGACCTTCTCAGTGGCTTCTGATTTGGTGACTCAAGATTCTGACCATCTGGATTCTCTATCTCAGGAGGTCTAGGATTTAAATCATTAACTCCAGAATTTACATTTTCTGACTCTAGACAACTTGATTCACTCATATCAACAGAACTTGGTTGTGGAACAACTGAGTTGGTGTGAACTGATCAGACTTGGTGGGATTGACAGATTCACACTTATTATCTGCACCAGTTATTTTTAACTTTATAAGGCACAGGTCCTGTACATTGAACAATTTGACCTGGTATCCATTTTTCCTTTTTCCCATAATTTCTTAGATACACATTCTCATTAACACCAAATTCTCTTTCAATGAATGTTTGTCATGATTTAATTTTTTTAATTGGCATCTGAAAGTATTATGCTATTATTCAGATCCTTAACTGGCATAGATTTCTTTGATTGATCAATTTCCTCAGGTAATCTGATAGTGCTTTTTCGTAACCAAACATACTGTTTAAAAGTAATATCCTGGACAATATCACTTTGCAACTGTGATCCAGTATTTGAAGTGGGTGTATTCAATGGCAAAAATCTTTGCTCTTTTCTTTTGATGTTACCCTTTTAGTTTCTGTAAGTGCTAATGATGTTAGCAAAGTTGTTTTATGATCACATTCCTTCTTACTTAAAGCATTTGAAATTGCCATATCACCATAATCATTTATTAAGTTACAAATACTTTGTTTAGGTAGCTCTGACTGATAATGGACTGCATCTTCTCCATCTTTTATATTATCTTCACAAAGGGTTTTAATTTCTTATTTTATATGGCTTTAAGTCATCATTCACAGACTCTTCAGGCCAACCATTCTTACAGTACTCATATACTTTTATTAAGCACTCATCTTTTTGTGTTTCTCTTTTAATATCATTCACATTTATATTGGAGTTATCCATGATAGTGAAGAGAACAAAAACATCTTCTGGTACATAGCTCAGGCTTTGGTTTTTTAAAGGTAATCTACTAAGACTATCTGCACTATTCTCAGATCCAGGTTTGTATTTCAATTCATAATTGTATGCAGTTAGTGTGATAGCCCATCTTTGAATTCTTGGTGAGGCATGCTCAGGTAGGGTTTTGTTTTCTCCAAATAAACCTAGCAATGGTTTATGATCTGTAAAGATGGTGAACTTCCTACCAAACAGAAACTTATGAAATTTCTTAACACCAAAAATGATGCCTAAGCCTTCCCTATCTAACTGAGAATAATTTTTCTCAGCCTGGTTCAAAGATCTACTGGCAAAAGCAATGGGTCTGTCACCCTTCTCATCCATGTGGGACAAGACTGCTCCTACACCATCTGGTGAAGCATCACATGTTAATATAAGTCTTTTCCCTGGGTCATAGTGAGTTAGTAAGGTGTCAGCAGACAAAGCCTCTTTTGCTGTGTTAAAAGCAGCTTCTTGTTGTTTACCCCAGTGCCAAGTTGCATTTTTCTGTAGCAGCTTGTACAGTGGTGATAGTCTACCAGACAGATTCCCTATAAACTTTGCATAGTAATTTATCAAGCCCAAAAAAGCTCTTAGTTGTTGGGTATTTTCAGGTTTGGGTGCTTCTTTAATGGCTTTTGTTTTCTCAGGTTGAGGTCTGATGCCTTGCTTGCTTAATATATAACCAAGAAAACTAATTTCTGTCAGCATGAATTGACATTTATCTTTGTTTATCTTTAAACCTTTTTCACCAACAATTTTCAATACTTTATCTAGTGTTTTAAGATGTTCAGTGTCATTCTTACCAGTTATGTACACATTGTCAAAGTACACACAAACATTTGGAATATCCTTAAAAATACTGTCCATGACCGCTTGGAAAATTCCAGGGCTAGATGATATGCCAAAACATAGTCTTTCATATTGGTAGAGTCCTTTATGTGTGTTTATTGTCGTATAGACTTTTGAATCTGGATGCAGTTCTAGTTGAGTGTAAGCATGACTAAAGTCTAATTCAGTGAATTTGTCTCCTCCTGCCAAATTCAAAGAAATTTCCTCAATGTTAGGTATAGGGTACCTATTTAGCTCTATTTGCTTATTCAGTGTGGTTTTATAATCTCCACAAATTCTTATAGAACCATCCTTCTTTAACACTGGCACAATGGGTGTCGCCCAATCGGAATAGTCTACCTTCTTTATAATGCCATTAGATTCTAATCTGCTTAGCTCATTTTCAATTTTATTCCTCATTGCATAAGGTGGAACTCTAGCTTTGCAGTATCTTGGATTTGTATCTTTAATGCTTAACTTCACTGTTCTATCATTTAGTAAACCTGAATTACCAAAAACACATTTATTTTCAGATATAACTTTATCTAGTGAAGTAAGACTAGATTCTTTTACATTCTTCAATGAACAAATACTCTCCCAATTTAACTTAAGATCACTTAACCAGTTCCTACCTAGTAATGGCGGTCCATTTCCTTCAACCACAAGAAGAGGAAGTTTAACACTTTGACCATTATAACTTACATGAACCATACACTCTCCTATTACCGGAACATTGTCACCAGTGTATGTTGTTAGACACTTGTGACACGGCTGTAGAGACACTGATCCTCCTGTGACAGCGTCAAAATCTTTCTTTGTTATGACTGTTAGAGATGCTCCAGTGTCAAGTTGGAAGCTGATGCTCTTACCGTTGATATTAACTAGTACATTGATGGGAGCATGACTCATTGATTTCACAGAGAACAGGCTGAAATCCGGCTGCGAATCAGTTTGAGAATTTTCATAGGTAGAGTGGTTCATTGGTTGGGTTAGGTAGTCTTGGTGAGAGTTAACATAGTGCTGCCTTTGGTTGCGGTACCGTCTTGACTGGCTAGATTTAGCAACAGACGAAGACTTTGCAAAGCAGGCCTTGGCAATGTGACCTTGCTTACTGCACTTATAACAAGTTGCTAACTTGAACTTGCACCGATGAGATGCATGGGGACCCTTGCATCGATGACATTTTTGATAATTATTACTAGATTTAGATCTAGGATTTGAACGAGCAGGCTGTTTAGCATAAGTTGGAATGCTCTGATGGGGTTGATGTTTATTGACTAACCTGCTGTTTACTGCATGGATCTCTGAAGGTGCTAAAGATCTCGCCGCATCTGATGACTGCTGGAATGACATTGCAAGTTGTATTGCTTTTTCCAATGTTAGATCTGACTCGAGCAGCAACTTTCTTTGAATATCAGGGCTGTTTACACCTGTCACGAACTTTTCACATAATCTGTCAGACAGCGTGTCTCCGAATTCACAAAATTCACTTAAATGACGTAAAGCAGCAACATATTCTGATATTGACTCGTTTGGTTGACGAGTCCTACTGTCAAATCTAGCTCTACATAGAAACTTTGATGGTACAGGCGCATGGTGGTCTGTTAGCAATTTGCTCAGCTCGTTAAAGCTCTTGGTATCTGGACTAGCTGGTGCGCATAAGTCCTTTAGTAGCCTAAATTGTTGAGGCCCTATGACTGTTAACAAAACAGCTCTCTTTTTGGCTTCTATCGTCACGTCGTTAGCTTCTAGGTAAAAGCTTAACCTCTCTAGGTAATCTTGAATGATTTCATCATTCGCATCAAATTCTTTTATTTGGCCATACAGCGCCATAATTCTAGAAATAATTAGCTAATAAGCTCTAGCAAACCTCTTTTTTGCGTAAGTAGGTGCTCTTTCTAGTAGATGTTTATCCTTCGTCGCCAAATGACGTGGATTGTAATGACTGACGAGAAGCCGCGTTAGTTGTTAACAGTCTTTATTATGTACAGACGCCATGATGCAAAGAGAGGAAGAGAGGGAGCAAGTGGCCAGAGACCACTATATATAGATAACAACATGTAAGGGACATCACTCAAGATAACAATATAAATATAATACTAATACAGAGAGTGAGTTCCCTTGACCTCACAATTATTTCAATCTATTACAACAAATACAGACTACGTTTTTTTAATACTTGGAAGCTAAATTATTGTAAATTAATACACTCTAATTAAAGCAATCACTGCTAGGTTTGAATTTTTAGATTTAAAATTTGGTTTTTAAGCGAGTGATTTATTTTTCTGATATAGGCTGCACTTCTGGTTAATTTTTTTATGGATGAAATTATGTTTTTATTCCCTTCACAGCAAGCATGTTGATAACATAAACACCTGAGGATGAACCTCAATCAAGCATGTTAATTACATTCAGTCAAGATGTTAGCAATATTCTAAAATTAACATTGAACTTATTGTAGACTACAAGAAGTCCAGCTGCAGTCACTTACCAGGTTCACGACACAACACCAAAGCCGCTGCAACAAGTAACAAGTGACTCACCAGGTTCAATATTTTCTGCAGCTTCTCATCCACACACCCAGAAACATCAGGCTGACCAATCCAACAGATTTTTGTCTCCTGTTGGCTACAGGCCCACGTCGCTGTACCTGGGATTGGGGCAATAAAAAAAGTATAATATTTAAACATTTTAATGTATTTGGTAGTACAAACATAAAAGACAAATACATTATGAGCATTGGTTTTGTAACATAAAACAAGTGGCACCAACCTTTTCTGTTTTTACAGCGGACTTGAGCTGTTTGACCAGGAAGTGTAGATGGCCAGTTGACTGAGCCAATGGTTGTGTTGGGACACACACGGGGGTTGGTGTAAAAAGTTTCAGCAGTGATTAATTGTTCCATTAAATTGGAGCCAAAACTCGGGATGTAGCAGTTTTTATAAGCTTTTAGTTTGGTTTCTACAGAGCTGGTGGTGGTAGTGCTGGCAGGTGTGGTGGTTGTTCTCTTGGTAGGTCCGGTTGGTGTGGTGGTTGGTGTGGTGGTTGGTGTGCTGGTTGGTGTGGTGGTTGGTGTTGTGGTAGTGTTGGTGACATGACTTGAGACTCCTGGAACTTTTTCCTTATGAGAAACTTCTGGAACTTTGCGTGTGTTGACTGTAGGGATGTTTTCTGTTGGTGGAGGGACGTAGACTGATGGTTTGGTTGTTCCTTGTGTTGCTGACGTGTTGTTGACGTTTCCAGGGGTGGCAGATTTTGGGATGGATGGGTCGAGGCGGATAGTTCCTGTGGATAGCACGCTGCTGTCTGCTATCTGCATGTCTGGTGTTGTGGTGGCGGTTTGGGGGCGGGCAGTAACTGAAATATAGTGATAGCATCAGTCATGTCTTAAAGAATAACATCAGTCATGTCTTAGAGAATATCATCAGTCATGTCTTAGAAAATGTCATTAGTTATGTCTTAGAAAGAATATCATTAGTCATGTCTTAGAGAATATCATCAGTCTTTATTAGAATCACTCTAAACACTTTTGATTATTTAATGAAAAAAGGAAATAAATCATTAATGTGCTGTAAGGGCCAAGTTTACATTAAGTGGCAAACAATTCATATGAGAAACATGAATTTAGTATGTTATATTCTAGCTTTTAAATACAGCTTTACATTTGTTGTATATGACTGCATCAGTTCACAAGCATACGTCAAATCAGATTTTACAAGCAGACGTCACAATCAGACTTTACCAGCAGACGTCACTAGCAGACGTCAAGTACTTACATTGGGTGTATTCACAGATGTAGGGCAGTGTGTCGTCACAGTCATGTAGAACAAGTTGAAACTGGTTGGGTTGTAAATTTAGTGCACTGCAGTCGTATCTTCTTCTGTTGGGTTTCGTTATTGGTCTGTGGAGAAATGTTTTGATGGATTTGGTAGAGATGATATTTTGTTAGATTTGGTAGAGATGATGTTTTGATCAATTTGGTTGTTGTGTTATTGGAATGTGGAGAAATGATATTTTGTTGGATTTGGTAGAGATGATATTTTGTTGGATTTGGTAGAGATGATGTTTTGTTGGATTTGGTTATTGAGTTATTGGTCTGTGGAGGAATGATATTTTGATGGAATTGGTTGTTGGTCAGTAGAGAAATAAACGTTTAAATAATGAGATCTCCTATTTTTGCTCTAAACTATTCTGGTTTAGCATGTGTAGGCCTACATCACCGGATCCAAGTCTAGGATCTAACATGGCATTGAAGTATTTGTGAGTCCGCCATGATGTTTAGAATGTGAGTTTGTAAATGTAATGTGGTTTACCATAGACCTACTTACTGAGCAACATCCGAGTTGTCCAACCATTTTGGTTTGTCTCCCTTGGCTGTGTCTTTCCTTATACCGACCCAATATTTGCCGGCAGCAAATTTGTTTTTGTTCATGTACTCTTCTAGTTTATTCTGGGGGTTACAGAGGTCAAGTTATAATTATTACTGACAAAGTCCACAGACTACAGTTAACTGATAAAAAGATCTCAAAACGAAGATAATATACTAGATATAAATGCGAGTTTGTTCTACGAAGTTTTCTTTAAAAATATTTCCACTCACGAAAACATCCCGCAATGCCCGCCCTCTACCACTCCCCTCAAGTATCCTAAACTGCTGCCTCAACCCGAACCCCTTTTCCACACCCCCCCCCCATCCCAACACAAACACCTTCATACAATCTTTGCATTAGGAATTATAAAACGTGCGACGTGCTAGTCAGCAGAAAAGTACCTTAAAATACCGCATGGTAATGTGATCTAGAAACTTTTAGAGCAGTGGTTTTTAACCTTTTTGGAGGTACCGAACCCCCACCAGCTTCATATGGACATACGTGCATTCACCAAATTATTTTAAATTAATGAGAAAATTAAAATTAATTATTTTTTTTTTCCATTTTCAAATCATAGGTATAAATTTTACTGGTTAACAAAATTAACCGTGCAACAACATCAGTGTTTTCTTAGTTTTGAGGGTGCTAGACTAGAATTGTTCCATTTGGCATTGCAAAGCATGCAGTTAGGATGCTGATTCTCATAAAGTTCCTTTTTGGGGGGATCCATATTGTACATATTTCTTTTTTGCTCGACGTAGTTAGTATGAAATGATTAAAATACTAAAAAAAAGAAATTACACAACGCACAATCACCACAAGTTAACTACTGGGCAACGATATAGAAATAAAAAGTATGCTCGTCACAGCACGTAGGCCTATATTATACAAGATCTACGCGCGCCTGTATAAGTGGCGTTGACACGATTCGTGACATAAGTGTTTCGTGACGTCAGGGGTCAATAATTTGATCGCCAATCATGAGTTTGATGTGTCCTGACCTCAGCCAAACCCTCGAGACTCTCTCACTGAACCACTGTGGTATATTGAACCCAGGTTAAGAGCCACTGATCTAAAGCAAGCCTTTCCACTAGATGAATTATGGACATTGAAATAGGCTACTAGTGGTAGAACTACGACAGTGCCTTCAAACTCCGCAAACAAAGGGAGTGAGGGTATAAACTATTTAGAAGACCAGACTGTGACAGCATTTATAAACTTCCTTGTCTAGACAAAGGTATCACACAGCTGCATCTTGGTCTCAGTATAGAATAAAATAATTCATAATAATTTTAAAAAGCCCTACCATCTCAGCCACAGTCTGTACCAGCACCGGATTGTTACCATCACAACCATCGGGTGACTCCGCCCACTCGGCAGTACTGTCGCCATCTGTGACAAACTTGTAGCAACTTCGGTGTATCTTTACGTAGTTTTCTGGACATTCACTGCTATCTGTAGAAACACGACAAGTTAAAGGGACATTTGTTATCTGTAGAGACATGACAAGTTAAAGGGACATTTGCTGTCTGTAGAGACACAAGTTAGAGGGACATTCATTGTTATCTGTAGAGACACGACAAGTTAGAGGGACATTTACTATCTGAAGAAACCAGAGTTTCTTCAAGGCATCTCTTCGGGGGGGGGGGGGGGACTTTACCGCCCCCCCCCCCCCCGAACGAAATGAAATTTATATAATTTATATAGAAAATATATACTTTTAACAGTGTCCGCCCCCCGAAAAAAGTTTACCCCCCCCCCCCCGAAAATTTCAAGTGCCGCCCCCGGAGAAAAAAGTCTGGAAGAAACACTGGAAGAAACTGAAGGACATTAGCTATCTGTGGAAAATGAAGGACATTTGCTAACTGTAGAAACTAAAGGACATTTGCTATCTGTAGAAACTGAAGGACATTTGCTATCTGTAGAAACACAATTTAGACTATAAGAGGGACATTTGCTATCTGTAGAAACAAAGAGAGACGTTTGCTGTCTATAGAAACATGACAAGTTAGAGGGATATTTGCTATTTGTAGAAACACAATCTAGAGTGACATTTGCTCTTTGTAGAACACAAGTTAGAGAGACATTTGCTATCTGTAGTACTTCTTCCAGAATTTTTTCTCCGGGGGGTGGGGGGGGGAGGGGGCACTTGAAATTTTCGGGGGGGGGCGGTAGACTTTCTTCGGGGGGGGGGGGGGGCGGACACTGTTAAAAGTATATATTTTCTATATAAATTATATAAATTTCATTTCGTTCGGGGGGGGGGGGGGGGGGGGGCGGTAGAATTTTGCCCCCCCCCCCCCCCCAGAAGAGATGCCTGGAAGAAGCTCTGGTAGTACTGTAGTAACATTACAAGTTAGAAAGACATTCGCTTTATATAGAAACATGACAAGTTAGAGAGACATTTACTATCTGTAGAAATATGATAAGTTAGAGAGGACATTCTTTAGGGAAAGGCTCATCGTATATTTTGCAAGCAGATTCCTTCTCTGAGTTGAGATAAACATTAAAGATATCGATTCTTTGCCACCAAAGCAGTTACTCAGCGGTTGTATTATGGGGTTGTCATAAGACCATCCAGTGGCGTCGCTAGGTCGGGTGTCACCCGGTGCGGCACCTAACGGTGTCACCCCTCCCCCGAATATATATATATATATATATATATATATATATATATATATATATATATATATATATATATATATATAAGACTGTGTATACGCATGTAAATATGCATTTAAATATCTCTTTTTTATGCATTTAATCTTTTTTAAAGCTACGTAATTTGGGCTAAACTTTTATTTATTTATAGAAATGAGTAACGTAGTCTCGAGTTCGAATCCGGGTTCAAGTCAGTAGATTGCCTGAGTCCACCGAACTCTGATGGGTACCTAACTCACGTTAGGGAAAGTAAAGGCGGCTGGGCATAGTGCTGACCACAATATCTCTTCATATGCCGAGGTCACAGAAACAAGTGAACTCTACTTCACTTGCCCCATAGACCGTCAGGTTTGAAAGGGAAATTAGTGAACAAATACTATATTTTTACGACGCTTGAATCCGCTCTTTTCCTCGTGTGAGTATATTATATTAGTAATCAAATTATATTTATTATTTAACATTTTCAATTTGCAAAATACACAACATTTAATGATCAAACTGACTAAAGGCGTGAATTATCGTTTTAAGCATTCAGCCGACGAAAAGAGTCAACTTGTGTCCATGTTGCAAGCCAACCACATCTGTTTATCTGTTGATCTTTTTTATTGCTTATGGTTTCTATTATTCATTTTGGTCTCTCAAAAAAAAAATCATTGTATTTGTAATAAATTATTAAATTTGGTGTCACCTTCACCCCCCCCCCCCCATCCCCACACACACAGAGAGAGACGTGGATTGACGTGTCAGTTATTACAATTCTCAAGAAAACCCTTTTCCTCAGGCAAATGTTGTTTTGCAACGTTTAGTTGGTGTGTGTGTCGTCTTTCTGGTTATAAATACAGCTGGATGTAGTATTGTTTTCTATATCGTTAGCAGGTTAACGCAGAGGCGTAGCGACCCATCCCGGCGCCCGGGGACAAACTTTCGATTTGCACCCACCCCCCCCCCCATCCCCCCCTCCCCCGCAAACTTTCGATTTGCACCCCCTCTCAACCTTTCAATTTATTTTTCCAACCCATTTTGGCGCCCCTTAAGGTCGGCGCCCGGGGACATATGTCCCCCCGCCCCCCCCCCCCCCACTCGCAACGCCTCTGGGTTAACGTCATGGTGTCACCCTGCCCTCCCCCCACCCTTGTCGGGATTTGTCAATTTTGCTCTTATTAAAAGACTTTTCAACTCTAATTAATCATTTAACTGGAATGATCGTTATATATATATATATATATATATATATATATATATATATATATATATATATATATATATATATATATATATATATATATATATATATATATATATATATATAGCTATTATTGCCTTGGTGTCACATTTGTGATGATAGAAAGTGCATAGGGTATACGGACTAGTGTGAATGGGCTATATCAATACATAACAACTCGGGCAGAGGAGGCTCGTTAGCTGGGGACAGCCACTCTTCTAGGAGAGACAACTCCAAAATCAAGCAACTGCTACCTTGTAGTTTGTTCTTGGTTGGACAAAGGCTATGGAAGCAAATCCAAAAAGAAAAGCAGGCTGAAATTTAGTGAAAATCGGAGTCAATGGCCTCAATGGCGCATAACCAGTTGACACGTATCCTTAATTGTGTTAGAGGGGGATCCCTTCCAAAACTAAAATTAAGAACGAAGAAGAAGAAATACAAAAAAACAAAACAAAAAAACAACCATGTAGTTTCAAAGAAAACAATGACCTACCTTGTGTGTAAACTAAAGTCACAAACGAGCTGACGATGATTGGCCAGAACACATGCATGTTGTCGTGAAGGACCTCTGAAGTTTTCCTTTTTTTTTTTGACGTGACGGAGCACTAGTTCACCAGATCTCTAGGACCTTTTTTTGTCGTACGTTTCTACTAAACTTCACTTAAGTTTCAAAACGCTGAATGCAATATTAAAACTCCAGTAAACGTGACCTCACGTAGTTGTGTGCTTTCTTCCCTTGCCCTATGGCTTCACATCAAGGCAGGCAATTTTGTTTGTAAAACACAACTGCTATGATTTAAGTAGATTATAGCTGGTGAATAACAAGAATGGCTATCAGTGGGTTGAATGTATGAATATATTCCAGCTAGCTATATTGTCAGTTAACCGTATCTATCGTTTTTCGGTTATTTTCATTATTAAACAAAATTGGATATGGATAATTATTTATCATTTTTAGCATCTCACATCTCCTAAACCAGTAACTTGCGCCAAAGCAGATGTTTGAAATATGTGACTGTTTCATTTTTAACAGTAACATATAGCCTATAACTAACCCTTCGTATGTATCCAAACCTTATGACACAGCACAAAATTGCAAGGGCGTTTAAAAGCTTTAGGCATTAATCCCCCCCCCCCCCCCTGAAACATTTGTATTAGGTGGTGCTGAATTTATTCAAGTGGACAACAAGATACAAGATTAGATTAAACAAGAGGACACTTTACATTGTATACATTTTTACAACACACCCTTTCGCCATTAGTTAATACAGAATATCTCCGATATCCATACTGCTGGTTAAATGCTACATGTTCGTGTTATAAGGCCAAGTGCTTACACACTTTAGCATAATTAATCACCAATGCCAGGCTCTTTGTTTCGCCGTTGCATATCTCCCTTCTTTATTTTACTTACCTGGTGTTTGTGATGGCCTAAGAACAATTATACCTCACCATGCATCCTTGATATAGGCCACATTTTAAAAATCTGCTTTGCAGGGCAGTTTTAAATTTGTTAACTAGTAAAAACAGCTCAGGGAAACTTGCTTGATTTTTTTCTCTAGCTGAAGCCACTCACTAAACAAAAGGTAGGATCTTCTGCATGCAGCCTTGTTAGGCTAAACTTATGTTCCAATTAGATCCCTATATTCATCAATACACAACTATATTCGAGACTAATAAAGACATAGTAAGTCTACTTATTAAAACTAAAACAACATACCTATCTAGTTGCGATAAAAAAAATTCCCCTGAATTGTGCTCAAAACTTTGTGTATCTTTTATGACGCTAGTTCAAAATTCAATTGTCAACTTTAAGACATCGTATAAAAAGCATGATGCACTCACAAGTCTTAAGTCTGTGACAAAGATAGCTATTATATGTCCACTTGTCTCTATGTAGGATGCGCACAATTTGATGGTTCTTCTCCCCCCCCCCCCTCGAGGCTCAATGCATCTGCTTCCTCTAATTATGACTAATTGGGGTAATTTACTTCCTGACTGTATTTAACCAGTTGAAATTTTGAATGATAGAAATACAGGCAAATTTAACTCTTGTAAAAAGTGGGGCAGCTAAATTTGTGTATTCAATATTGAGATTGGTAAATCTGAAAATATAAGCAACAATATGCACCTCGTGAATTAACGTGCAGATTGTGCTGGTATTTCTATTTTGTGAAATAATTGTTGGCACTACCATCCCCATGGTTTAAAAAATATGTTTACGAGAAAGTAACAAGTCACACAAAGTTTTTTTTCAAAAATTATCATCTTTAATAATCAACATTGGAGGTATAAAAGAGAAAATATTGTGAGGCAGTACATGTCATTGTTATCACATGACAAGACAACACCATTGGTCACATGACAAGACAACACCACTGGTCACATGACAACACCACTAGTCACATGACAAGACATCACTGGTCACATGACAAGACATCACTGGTCACATGACAAGACATCACTGGTCACATGACAAGACATCACCACTGGTCACATGACAAGACATCACCACTGGTCACATGACAAGACATCACCACTGGTCACATGACAAGACATCACCACTGGTCACATGACAAGACATCACCACTGGTCACATGACAAGACATCACCACTGGTCACATGACAAGACATCACCACTGGTCACATGACAAGAGACATGGCAGCAAACCTATACTGCAGGGATGTTGGGTTGCGCACCAGCACTGTGCAGTGCCGCCTCCCCTGTTGTTTCTCCAGGAGATCTAACACAGCCAACACAGAGCAGAAGCCCAGCCCTGAACCTTGACCTATGCCAAGGTGAAAGTCACCTCCAGTGATGAAGCCCATAACAGGACGAGAGGTGTGACTCAACAGCCTGACATCCGCATGAGTGACCTCAGGTCCAGCTCCTGTAACCCGATCTGTTGATGTTGCCTGCGCTAGTCCAACTACTGGTGTCTGACCAGCTGATATTGGCTGACCAGGTCCAGTTGATACCTGACCAGTTGATGTAGCCTGGACAGGTCCAGTTGATACCTGACCAGCTGATATAGCCTGGGCAGGTCCAGTTGATACCTGACCAGTTGATATAGCCTGGACAGGTCCAGTTGATACCTGACCAGTTGATGTAGCCTGGGCAGGTCCAGTTGATGCCTGACCATCTGATGTAGCCTGGGCAGGTCCAGTTGATGCCTGACCAGTGAGTCCTGCCACACCCACAACACCAGCTGATTTCTTCCCCCTCCTTTTCTTTTTCCTTAGCTTTAGCCTCAGCAGCCTCTCTGCTCTTCTCTGTGCCAGAAATGGATCTTTGTGCTGGGGTTCCAGTGGCCCACTGTATGTCTTGTCTCTGGCCAGAGCTGTCAAATCTTCCTCAGATGGAACACATATCTGGCCGTTGATGGCTGGGACACCGCGGCACTGGATCATCAGATAGACTGGAACCAGGGCAGATGAACAAGAAGGGAGGCAACTTTCACCAAACTTCTTTGACAGAAGAGTTCTCATATTTTTCGCATCTTTGCCCACTGATTTCTTAATCTGCCTGAAGAAGTTTAGAGTATCTGTGAGTGCATCATTGAGGAACCTGGTGATTCGTCTCTCTTGTAACACAAAATAATTGTTTCCCTGAGGTGTGACTGCATATTTCTCCTGCCATTCTTTCACAAGTTTCCCAAACTCAAACCTAAAAGGGGAGGTAATCCCAAGCTTGGTGTAGTTAGGGCGCTTGGCTGGGGGCCTGCGATTGTGTTTTAATTCCAATGCTTGCAGCTCCCCTGTCAGTTCCTCTTGCCCAGAAGGTGTGTCAGGGAAGTCGTAAGGCTCGGCCAGCATTCTGGCTTGTAGGGCCACACTCCGCGCCTCCCTGAGCCCCCCAGTTCTGGCCCCTCTGTACACCAGCGCTACCCAGAACGCCATGGCCCAGCCTGAGGGGACGAGTAGGTCCCAGCCCCCAGCATAGCCAGCCCTGGCACCAGTTGCGATGGATCCTGGTCTGTGCATCAAAATAACAGGAATCAGGGACTCTCTCTCACCCAGGTCCAATGGCGTCCCTGAAACAGGTGTAGTCTAAGGTAACAGGTGCATCAACTTGTTAAACAGATATATTTTTTTACATAATTAAAATTAGATGGTGCAATTAACATTAATTATTAGCGGAGAAAATCATATTTCATTATTCACAATTAATTCTTTATAAAATGTAAATATAAAAAAAACCAATACTGGGTACTACAAAATGATAATTATTGTTTCCTTTTTGTTACAATTTTAAATTTCTAAGAATTTAATGCATATCTTTAAAGAATATGAATGAATGAGTAACAACAGAAAATGTGAGTCATTTTGAAGAAATGGTATAGAAAGAACATGTAACTTTCTTTATGTTGATCATGTACCTCACACATATAGGTGGAACATGTATACTCTTTATGTGGAACATGTACATTGTATCATGGATGTCGAACAAGTACCTTGTTTATGTAGAACATGTACCCCATTTATGTGGATCAGGTAACTTGTTTATGTGGAACACAAACTTGTAAATGTATTAACCAGTACCTGGTATCAAGTGTTTGCTTCTCATCTCATTGAGCTGATGTTCTGCCATCTTTGTTGCTTTAACTTTCTCTCTAATGGCAGGGTCCCACAGTGGGCTGTCAGCTACTTGTTCAGTGAAGGCTGGAGTGGACATACTGTTCACAGCTGAACCTGAGCAAGAGATAGTACATCTGTCTTGTGTTACAAAACATCTGTCTTGTGTTACAAAACATCTGTCTTGTGTTACAAAACATCTGTCTTGTGTTACAAAACATCTGTCTTGTGTTACAAAACATCTGTCTTGTGATACAAAACATCTGTCTTGTGTTACAAAACATCTTTCTTGTGTTACAAGAGATAATACATCTGTCTTGTGTTACAAGAGATAGTACATCTGTCTTGTGTTACAAAACTGCTGTCTTGTGTTACAAAACATATGTCTTGTGTTACAAGAGATAGTACATCTGTCTTGTGTTACAAAACATCTGTCTTGTGTTACAAAACATCTGTCTTGTGTTACAAAACATCTGTCTTGTGTTACAAAACATCTGTCTTGTGTTACAAAACATCTGTCTTGTGTTACAAGAGATAGTACATATGTCTTGTGTTACAAAACATCTGTCTTGTGTTACAAAACATCTGTCTTGTGTTACAAAACATCTGTCTTGTGTTACAAAACATCTGTCTTGTGTTACAAAACATCTGTCTTGTGTTACAAAACATCTGTCTTGTGTTACAAAACATCTGTCTTGTGTTACAAAACATCTGTCTTGTGTTACAAAACATCTGTCTTGTGTTACAAAACATCTGTCTTGTGTTACAAAACATCTGTCTTGTGTTACAAGAGATAGTACATCTGTCTTGAGTTACAAAACATCTGTCTTGTGTTACAAGAGATAGTACATCTGTCTTGTGTTACAAGAGATAGTACATCTGTCTTGTGTTACAAAACTGCTGTCTTGTGTTACAAAACATATGTCTTGTGTTACAAGAGATAGTACATCTGTCTTGTGTTACAAAACATCTGTCTTGTGTTACAAAACATCTGTCTTGTGTTACAAAACATCTGTCTTGTGTTACAAAACATCTGTCTTGTGTTACAAGAGATAGTACATCTGTCTTGTGTTACAAAACATCTGTCTTGTGTTACAAAACATCTGTCTTGTGTTACAAAACATCTGTCTTGTGTTACAAAACATCTGTCTTGTGTTACAAAACATCTGTCTTGTGTTACAAAACATCTGTCTTGTGTTACAAAACATCTGTCTTGTGTTACAAGAGATAGTACATCTGTCGTGTAATTTTTTAAAGTGATTAAAAAGTAGATTAAGACAGCTGTTTCAGATTACCTTTTATGGATCATTAAATTTGGTTGAAATTATTCAATGAGACTTTTTATATAGCTTAACCTTGTTTGTTATGTTAAAATATATTGGTTAAAGTTAACAGGGGTGTACGCACAGACTAATATGGAAAAAAAATTGACGAGGGGGGTATACATTTAATGTGACATATAATGGCTCTTGAGTAAATTTTTGACTTTATTAGTTTTTAATGTCCCTCTTTAACATAGAAACAACCTTTGGTGCTGATGAACAGCTTCTCATGTCTTTTGTGAGCTGAAAAACTATATAGGTAAATTAGCTTTGAGTGTAAATATACTTTAAAAAATATAGTGTGTTTTTAACAAGAGAATAAGTTAGCCCACTGTATTTTCTATCATATTACATGTCACAGATACAACATAACTGATATGACTAGTGAAAGACTAGGACAGGATTTGAACCTGTGACCTCTGGCATTAACACCAGTGCTCTACCAGCTGAGCTACCTAGCCAAAGTGAATTTCATATCATTACTTACAAACACACCACTACACAAAAATGAAAAAAAATAACAAACAGACAAACTGCTCAAACAAATACACAAGATTAAATGTTATCATCAATTACAAACAAACACACCACTGAACAAACACACATGGTTTCTAAAAAGCCAGCACACATAAAAACAACTCACCACTGTTGATAAGTGTGACCTTGCTGCGCTTTGGGGGCAGCAAGAGCCTGGGGTCCCTGACAGTCAGGCCCAGAATGCTGTTGGCTGGCACCTGGCCTGGCGTGCTACACTGCAGGTCCCTCCATACATCTGCCTGCTGCTTGAAGGATTCTTGCTGAAGGGAGGACGAGTAGTAACTCTTCCACCAGAAGTCAACGTTACCTTGGGCTGGACTGTCTGTGCACTGGCTGATCAAGGGAGATAACTGTAAAGTTTCACTCAACACAACATTGGAAGCTGGTCCAAAAAGTCGGAGTTTGACCAGCTCATTATTTAAAGGTCTAACAACAACATCCGTGCTTCCCTCTGTCATTACTTCAGAGGATCCCTGGTCAAAACATTTTGTGATCTCACCAAAAACTTGAGAGAAAATAGAGAGATGGCAGCCAACCCAGATGGTTGATTGAGTTGTGTGGGGTGGGAGTGCTGGCCTCCAGAAGTAGCTGACTGGTCCAATGGCACCATAGGGGTACATGTCATGCTTATACAAGACTAAAGACGCATGGCGGGTACCCAACGATGTCAATTTTGATGCAAAGGTTGGTCCTAGAAATGAATAATAAACGTGCAGTAAAAAAACTGATAAAAACTGTATTTTTTTAAGGAAATTTAAATTCTGATTTTCGACTAAAAGATTCAAAACACTGGTCAGACAACTCCGTTACCATTAAATAATTCTATTATTTTAGATATTGCATCTATGTAGTTACACAAAAAAGAAATACTGAACTAAGATTTCAATTTGGTGATCAATTAACTTTACTTTCTGATCAAATTAAAGCAATAGAAAATAGAATAGCTGCTAAATTTTTATATCAATTGTATTTAAACAAAACAAGTAATTAATTCCTACATTTAAAAAAAAGATTAAATCTAATCACTGTTAAAGTTATGACAACCAATACCGACCTGTTTTTTCACTACACAAATGGGAAAGGGCAGTAAGAATTTTCTCCCTTAATCCTGTGATTTCAATGTATTTTTCAAATGACACGTCCTAGAGAAAAATGTTAATAAATTATAAATTGAAACAGATACTGGTTGGATCCTGATATGCAATAAACAGATATAAAATCTGAAACAGATAAAACAGCTGGACACCTGACATGCATGAAATAATAAATGTTAATAAAGAAAAAGTGACACTCTTTTTTAAACTTTCAAACATCCAAAGCTAATATTTATTCTAAATGAATTTCTTTCAGAAATGGATTTAATAATTAGTAAATATTAAATGGGACGGAGTAGCCTAGCGGTGGAGCGCTTGACTGAGTTCGAATCCGGGTTCACGTTAGTGGAACATCCTTGAGTCCACCCAACTCTGATGGGTACCTATCTCATGTTATTGTTAGGGAAAGTAAAGGCGGCTGGCATAGCGCAGATCACATTATCCCTTTATATTCAGGGTTCAAGAAAAATATGAACTCCACTTCATATGCCCAATGTATTGTTAGGTCTAAAGAGGTATCTTTACTTATTTTTTAAAATATTAAATAGTTCTTATCTTGTTTTTTCGCAAAAGGATGTAAAAAATGGTGTTTATTGTACAGAATTACTATAAAAATAATTACACATGAAAAATTAATAAACCCCTTAAAATGGACACATTACCTAATTTTTGAGCTAGTCTTTGCAGATGCCCCCTTTTGACTACTTTCCAAAAAAAAATACCTGACTTTGGTAACTAATAAATATGCTTGATTTACTTACAGTTGGATATTTGTAGATTAAAAAATTTAAACTATTGAAAATATGTTAGAAAAAACCTTACTAAAGCCTTATATTACATATAATTAATTTCACAGTGAATGGAAACAGCATAATTATTATTTAGAAAAATAACAGAAATAATTCAAACATTTCAATAATTATGATCCAACCAAGTTGCAAAATCAGATATTTTCAATATGTTCACACTTGACAGCTGAAACAAATATACAGTTGGACTAACAAAAAAAAAAAAGCAGACCACTTTTACAATTATAACATTGAGCTGACCTGCATTAGACAATGATTGTTGACAGCTCTGTAGCAAGCACGGACACTTTTGTCATTAGGGTGAACTGCCAGTTTACAGCCCCATTTTTCAACCATCTTAAATCTTTTTGCATGCCAAATGTGCGTTTCAAGCCAGCCAATCCTACGCTTCCTTCTTTCATACTCTGAGAGAAGATTACTTGGACGCCGTCTGAATTTACGACTTGGGCGTTTTCCTGGAGCTTTAGTTTTTTCCAACTAAATAAAAAAAGGAAGTAAAAACTCATGTAAACCAACACTGTATTAAATTTGTTTTTAGAAAAAGTGTTTTGCATAAATCATCAACAATTCTAAGTCTCAACTAAACGGTCATTTGAATATATCAGCGATGTATGGGTAGGGTAAGAGAGGTATGCAATAACTACTCACTTCTAGCTTGACAATGCTGTGAAGTCTCTTGGGAACTCTTTTGATATTATGACTCATTGCCCTTCTCCTCATGTGGCGGGGCAGCTTCTGAAAAGCCAAATGGTTGCCTCCAACATCTTTCACTGCCTGTGTGAGCGCTTGGATCTCAGTGGCTCGACTCTCAACAAAGTGTTCAACATTTATGTCTAGTAAAAATACAAAAATATCTCAGCTGTTAAATAAAAATTATGATACTCACAATAATAAGCATAAAAAAATATTTAAACTAAATTTACTTAATTTAATATTTATTGTCACTCACTACCATGCACACCACACCTCTCCATGACAACACTTCTTACGTTTGAAGCTAAAGAAAACAACAAATCCGGTTAGACTTTTTAAGTGGCCATGCACCCAGAGTTCCTCACTAGTAATGACCAAATAGCGATCACGTGGTTTAAAAAAAAAAAAAATTTGGTTGTCATTCAAAAGTCGTGCCTTATTTTTAAAAGTGCTTGCGATATTTGATTTATTAATAGTTCTACAACCTTCAAATCATTTTTGTACCCTCCAGGCTATTTTAAAAGTTCTATTAATTTTAATGAGACCGACTTTAAAATTTAGCCTCCATTCTCCAAAGCAAATTTTAAAATGCTTTTCTGGCATATCTAGCCCTGGCCAACTATAGCATGTTTATATAATGTGAAAACCCGCCATTTTGCTCGTGGTAAACATTTTTAAAAGTAATTCTAAGAAGGTCTCTGGAACTAAGACGAAAAATCGTCGGAAGTCATGCATCTGGTCCGTACGCCATATTGTTGTTAGCAACCAGCCACGCCTCCCGGGTAGCAGCAATACTAACAATATAAGCATAACATCAAACAGAAACAAGCCTTCACAATTATTAATGCAAATTTACATAAAGGAACCACCCGTTTCATAATTTATCATTAGAATTCAATTATTTGCTAACATATTTTGTGAAATTTTCATTTTTGTTTCCCACTTGTTTCATTTTTTACAGAGATTATGTAAGACCATACAAAAAGAAAAAAAATATATTTCTCCTCTCCTATTAAAGCTAGAAATATAAATTTGGTACCAATGGAATTCTTAATCCTTCCCCTAACTAACTCATATGATTTTAAGATAAAATAGGCTTACTCAAAAATTCATTTTGTATGCTACAACCTACACAGTAAAACTCCATTTTAGAGTATTTTATTCTCCGCTTCTCGTTTACCTCCAGTTGAGCTTATTTTATTATTATAATAACCGAAACACACCACAACATTAGGAAAACACGATTTATTTATTTGTATTGTATTTTTGTTTTAACAAATGAATAAAAATGAATAAAAAAACAAAGAGACTGACTTCATTTTAGAATTTGATAATTTACTTATGTCAAAACTTGAGAAAAATCCAAATTTAGAATATTGAATGTGCTTTGTTCATGTGTCAGTTAGCATTTTCACGGCAATGGGTGAAGTACGAAAACATACCTCACAATTGCAAGGCGGTTAAGTTTGTATTGTTACAAGTATCTCCCAGGCATGATACCATAAAAAACATTTATGAACTTACAATGACCCCAAAACTGAGGCCAACACAATTTCAAACAGCTATTGCCCGAACTATGACGTATGCTGATAATTAAAGTTAATGTGAACTCACGGTGAACCCACGACCATGTAAGGTAGGAATGTTGGGATATTTTTCCTAATTAACATAGAATGATAAAATGTACACAGATTAATCCTATAATATACCCCATTGATAAAGATACCAAATTTATCATTCTAGGCCTAATAGTTTTTTTTATATGAATTTTTAAAGTTATGTATTAAACTTGTTATATATCACTGTAACAATCGGATTTATTTTAATTGTGTGATTGGCTTTAGGCTTGCATACCACTGCTGCTATTTGAGATATAATTATAAAACTTTGCACATTAGTGCTAGAGAGTGTGGGCAATAGAAATATGAAAGTAAAATCAAAATTTGATGAAGGATAATTATAACTAATCAAGTCAAATTAAAGTGAGGGGTGCTGTTCTATATAGGTCAATATGCAGACTGAAAGTCTGTTTTTTTTTTTTAAATATTAAAATTGAAACTTTGCTAGAGGGTGGGGGCAATAGAAATATAGAAAAAAATTATATTAAGTATGACTGCATATAATTAAAAAGTCCTATGAAAGGGTGTTGCACCCTTTTATAGTAATTATAGTGACTGCAACGGACGTATGTCCAGAATGTTACTATAATAGATAGGATACATTTTGGTTATTGATACTGAAGCATGTAATAAGAAGAATGCTGAAAAATAAAACTAGGGATGGTGTGGTAAAGCACTCAACTACTAACATGCAAGTCTTAAGCTCAGA